TACCAAGACAGCAGGGAATTAAGCAGTGAGCCTAAAAGGAAAAATCAGAAAAGGCAGAACAAGTAAGAAGAAGAAGAATACGTCTCTTATACAGAGTTCGCCACCTGATTCAGTGATGTTCACAGCCAAAAAGCAATCTCTTGTTAACTCTACAGTTAACTCTCTTAAAGCTGTAGATCTTGCAAATATCCAGCAAAAACCTGACAGTGGTTCATTGATAAGGTACTTGTAATCTGTCTCACGCGTAATCCGTTTCACCAACTCTCCCTCGCCCCGGTTTAAATCCTGCCCCCAGACTCCTCCTGATGTTTGCAAAACCATTAGGAACTCTTATTCCAAAAGGACAATCAGGGGAGCAAAATATAAGAACAGTTGAAATCCTGCACCAGCCCAGCTCCTCCGTTGCAGCTGAGGAAGGGAGCTACAGCTCACGAAAGCTTCTGCCTTGGCATAAAATGGGCGAGTTGGAAAAGACGCCCCCAGGCTCCTTTTGCATTGGTATATATTTTTATTTGTTTTAATGTTGTGAGCCGCCCAGGGTTATGTACTAAGATGGGCAGCTACGTAAATCAGTGGAATAAATCAGTGTTTCTCAACCTTGGCAGCCTGAAGATGGGTGGACTTCAGCTCCTAGCTGGCTGGGGAATTCTGGGAGTTGAAGTCCACCCATCTTCAAGCTGCCAAGGTTGAGAAACACTGACATAAATAAATGATAACGAGTTTCTCCCATCGTTCTGGCTGTGAACCAAAGTGAAAATATGGCATTCTTGCATTTCCTTGACCTGCCACTTCTTCCCTCCTTCCGTCCAGTTCCCATGATGGGAGGCCACATGACCATGGCGGGCGACATGAACGGGCTCAGCCCCACCCAGACCCTGCCCCCTCCTCTCTCCATGCCGTCGACATCCCACTGCACCCCGCCTCCGCCCTACCCCACAGACTGCAGCATCGTCAGGTGAGTGAGCGAGCAAGAGAGTCCTCCGCCCCCGGCTTGCCTGGCACGGGGTGGGGGAGAGATTCGGCTCCGTCCTGAATCCGGTGCTGCGTCCTGCGTGGAAGCAGTGTCTTCCGCTGGCTTAGCAACCTGCCTGTTTCCTTTGGCCTTCAGCCCGTCGCTTTCGCGGGGCCGACCTATCTGCGGACACACGTTCTAGCAGGGGACGGAGGAGGGCAGGAGGGTTGCAGGAGAAGGGAGGGGACCTGCTCACCTGTTTAGGCACAGGGGTATCCGCAGGGTGTGGTCAAAAAGGTCGGTGGGACCCAAGCTTCGCCTGGTTGTTAGGTGCATTGCCCGTACCATCTTGACTTTCTTGACCACATCCTGGGGACCCCCCTGGGCCTAGCAGTGACTTTGAGCTTGGTCTCGGATTTGGACCTCAGCTGCCTTGTTTGCCTTGTTCGGAGGGGAAAAGGATCTTGCTTTGCTGAGTTGGGCTATTGAACTCCGGGATTGACTGCTGTAATTCTCGGTCTGTGGGGCGGCCCTTGGAGATAGCGCATTGGTCACAAGTGAAGCGCCTGGGTCTCGGTTGCGGATAAGCGTCAACGTCCCCTTGAAGGAACTAGTTCTCACCCTTTGGCCTCGCTCAGGGTTGAGGCCTCGGAGACGGTCTCTGCCCGCAAGACTCCGGACACGGACCTCCCTCTCGGCACTCGGCCTCGCTCCGCGGCCTCCTCTAGAGACGAGGGACGCGCCCCTCGCCCAAGCGGGACTGCTGCGGCAGGAGCGCTGGCTCCGGAGGGCCCCGCGGCCAGGGCCAGGAGTTCTCCTCCTCCTCCTCTGCGTGGTCAGGGTGTCTTTCCCCCGACGCCGTTGCACCTCTTCTTGGAAAAAAGGCGGTGGTTCTGCTTTCGCGGCTCCGATTTCTGCATCCGGGGTTTGGTTCGGCTGGTTTTTCCAGGGGGCAGGCTGTGGCCTCGCTTCTGTGCTGCTTGGAGCTTGGGGAAGGCAGCCTTCGGGGCTCCGGCAAAGGGACTCCACTGGGCAGCTGGTCCAAGGAAAGCCCCCACCCTTTGAGCAGCACTGATTCGTTCTTCAGGCTACCTCTTTCCGGGGAGACCCCCCCTTCCATTCAGTGGATCTGTGGGGACAGTCTGCAGCCCCACCACTTTGCCTGCTGATTCCACAATCTCTGGAGAGGGGCAGGGGAGGCCACCGATTGGGGAGAGCCTCTGCCCCCCTTGCTGGGTCTCTCCAGTTTCCCTGCTGCCGACTGATGAGGCCACCAGGAAGCGCCCCCACCCCCACCCCTCCCCACCTCTGCTTTTACCTAGCAGAGTGCCTGGTGCGGATCTTGCCACGTTTGGGCTCTGCGCTCTGGGTGACCTCCTCATCTCAATTTCTCCTTCTCCCTTTCTCTCCTCCTCCTCCTCCTCCTCCTCTTCCTCCTTGTTCCTCTTCCTCTCTTTGTCCATCCTCCGTCCCCCTGCAGTTTTTTAGCGAGGCTGGGCTGCTCCTCCTGTGTGGATTATTTCACGGCGCAAGGGCTGACCAACATCTATCAGATTGAACACTACTCCATGGATGTAAGTAACCAACCGACGCTCCCTTTCGCTTCCTGGGCTGGGGGACCCCTGGATCTCCAAGATGGGGCAGCAGGCGTGGGTCGCAGAGCCCTGCTGGCCTTGCAGACGTCCTCAAGAGGGGAGACGTGTGGGGCGGAGGGCACGGAGCATGGCCCCTCACCTGCCGGGGACCATCCACGGAAGCCTCTTCCTTCTCCAGAGCAGCTTGTGTAGCGGTAGGGTGCTTCGGAAGAAGTGGGTCTGGACCTCAGGCAGTGGAGTTGAGCAGGCCGTCCCGGGCAAGGCCGCAGTGCGGCCGCCGGTCCCCATCCCAGCCGCAGCAGAGCACTGAGCTTGCTCTTAGAGGGGAGGGAAGGTCCTGTCGGAGTCAGGGCAGAACTTCGGGGGGCCTTGAGACACAGCGTTGCCCTGCTCGGGAGCCCTTGGAAGTGCCCTGCCTTGCAAACGCAGCAGCAACAGAGACGGAGAGTGGCCGGCCTGCAGCCCTTCCTGCCCACCCCCTACTCCTTTGTGCCTCTGCAACTTTCCCCTTGAAATCGCTTGCTTGGCTGGGACTCTGCTGCTGGGGGGTGTCTTGGGGCTCAGCCTGGGCGCGCCTGTCAGCCTGACGGTCTCTGCGCTTCCTCCCTGGCTCTGGCTGAGATGCTCTTGCTCGTGGCTGTCGGTCCGTGGGAGGGGAGCCCTGGCCACGCGGGAAACAGCCGCCAGCGCTAGGAAGCACGTGCGTTAGTTCCCCCGCGGCTCCTCCTCACGCTGAATCTCTCTTGCTCCCCCTCTTTCCTTGCATCCCAGGATCTGGTGAGCCTCAAGATCCCAGAGCAATTCCGCCACGCCATTTGGAAAGGCATCATGGACCACCGGCAGCTGCACGACTTCTCCTCCCCTCCCCACCTCCTGCGCACGCCCAGCGGCGCCTCCACCGTCAGCGTGGGGTCCAGCGAAACCCGCGGGGAGCGCGTGATCGACGCGGTGCGCTTCACGCTGCGCCAGACCATCTCCTTCCCTCCCCGGGACGAGTGGAGCGACTTCAACTTCGACCTGGACGCCCGTCGCAACAAGCAGCAGCGCATCAAAGAAGAAGGGGAGT